TTGTAATCAATTACTCCATTTCTTTGTGATTACATTCTGACTCCTAGCAAGATGTATATCAACAACTAATCAAAAGTTTAGCTGGATCTCCTAATTGTAAGCCTAGCATGGTGTAGACTCAGTGGTACACCCAAAGATGGCAGAGCCCCTGCTTGCAAGTAACTCTGGGTGGGTGAGGAGGCTGACATCTAATACTTTGAACCCCATGAAAATAAAAACCCTGCTTTTCTTGGCCTAATATCTGTTTCATGTTCTTAGAGAGCCCATAGTAAATCATATGAGGATAACCAATGATTATGAAATGAGTAAAATGAGTATCTCAGGGGTTTGAACTATAACCATCAAAATGATATTGCTAGATAAACAAAATATTCACAGTAGCTAATTAGACAAAGCTCTTTCACCTGGAGAGTATTGCTGGCAAAGGCAGGTGAGACCCAATTAATAATGTATATCAATGAACTACAAACTTGACTCCATAGAGGAAGCAAACTGAAGAGTAAATATGACATGGTTTTGGTCTTTCTTTCCAGGTGATTGGCATGGACCAGAACTCAGTTAAAGGACTATATAAACTAACAAGACTACCTCTCCACCACAACCTTTCTTTAGCAAGCAATAATGATGATGGCAAAGGATTCAAGAAATGAGCAGCATGGTACCCCAACCACATACCTATCATGCTCCCATCAGTATGTATGAAGCAGGCAAGTCCTGATTGAAAGCTGACGCAACATCTGTCTAGTTTCATTAAATTTCAAGGGCTTGCTCACTTTTGTAAAGCTGAGACCCCTTATTAGCCTCAGATCCACTCAAGCAAGGATGCCATGTTAAAAAAGGAGGCAGGTTAGGAGGTTTTCTGAGAACCTGCAGTTTCTTAAGTGTATCAAATGCTCCTCTAATTTGGGGAAGAAAAAGGTTTTTATTTTCTCAAAAAATCCTGAGAAAAAAATTTTAATTTTGTACAGAAGCTGATTATATGAAATGAATAATTAGGCAGTTAGTGAATTTCTATATCACTAAATGATACAGACTGATCATTTATTGAAGCTGGGGTTCTTCCTATCCCATTAGCTCTGTGGGAGCACACATACATTCTTACACACGTGAGAAGAAAGAACATTTCTTCTTGTTGGAAACACACTGTCTTGGGAGTTCTTGGTTGTACAGCTTCTGAGCATGCACCAGGTTGAGCATACACAAATGGTGCATTGACTCTTTGAAAGTCACATTTGTCCTGAAACTTCAGTCACCTGGAGACTGCATGCCTCATTGCCTGCACCAGTTCAATCCTGACAGTGTAGAATGGGTTTAAAAATCTCATTTGAGTGACAAAATTTGAACCGAGTGTCCAAACAGCGTGATATATTTAATGCAGAAATGATCATTCCTTATAATTTTGCTGATTGTGAGATTATTTTTCTTTCCTTTTGTTATTGGGCTGTTATAATCCTGCTTTGGTTTGAATTTTTTGTGGGAAAGGAAGATGGCAGGACTAAGTAAACTAATGTGCCAGTTAGTTACACATTCCTATTTTTATACATAGAAAAATTCTGCTTCTTTTGCTATGCAAGTGCAGACACACATAATTCCTAGAATCACTACTACATTCAAATCCCACAGGCACACACTCACAGGGCACCAATCTACAAACTCCCTACATGTCAAAATCAAGCCTGGCTGGAGATGGAAATAGGTGGATGTGTAATCAGTAATAAGAAATACATTGAGCCCCAATAATGAAAAGAAATCCCCCAATTGTTCAGGAGTCCCCCTCCCCCGTCCATTCGCTGATTTATTAACCCTGAACAAAGATGTAATTGCAGGGTCTCAGAAACTTTTTTGTTTTCTTTTTTTTTTTTTTTTTTTTTCATTTTTTTTGGCATTTGTTTGATTTGGCTTTGAATTTCTTAATATCTAGTCGTACCATTCATTGCCTGTTTTCTTCACTCAGTTGCCGATTTTCCCCCCCAGAAATGAAAGAAGCATCAGCTTCTGAGTGTTAAGGATGAGACCTGCATTTTCTTTGCTTGTTTAGGGCAAGAAATGAAATGCTGCCTCTTTTATTGGCAGAAGCATGCAGGAGGAGCATACCTTTAATTTAGTGTTGGGATACCTCACTTGCACCCTGGCTGTTGTCTTATTGGAGACGGCAGCCTGCCTGAGATCCTCTAGCACTGAAATAATATCATCCAGCACGCATTTCTTATCCTGATTTCTCAACACACACAGATGGGAAAAAGTATAATTATAGCCCTTGTGGTTCACCTTCATTTCCAGCACGGCTCGGTGGGTCTGCAGGATCCCCTCAGCCTGGAGCAAAATATTGTCCCCGGGTGGGGAGAGGAAGATCACCCTGCCATACCTCCCAGGGGTGTGTAAGTCCGAATAGAGCTGGCTTTTGGACTGGTCCAGGGGGAAAAGGCTGCTGGCCAGGCTGCGCTCGATCTTGGCCAGGCTGTGGCTGGGAGCGACCAGGCGCTCCAGGTCGCCCTCGGGCTGGAAGCGGTTGAGCGCGCTGAGGCCGAAGGTGATGGTCAGGACTGCGGGCACGGTGAGGAAAAAGACCGGGTGCCGGCTCACGCACAAGCCCAGCCTGTGGCAGAACGACTGGAGCCCTCTGTGAAGCACCTGCCGCAGCATCCTTCACCAGATCCAGCTCGCAGGCGCTCCCGGCCGTCTTAAAAAGCACATGTGACATGTGTAAGCGCCGGGCCACCCCGTTTTCCCCCCATCCCATCCAGCCCCTCGGGGTCGACCCCCCCTCTCCTCCTCCAGTCTCCTCCCCCCCGCACCCCGCGGCCGCCTCCCCACCCCGTCCTCCCCGCGTGCGCTCACCCCCCAACCGCTCCGCCTGGTCTTTCCCCCGCCCCACCTCCATGCGCTCCTACTACTCTTTCAAACACTGCAGCAAGTTGCAGCAAGGCGGGCAAATATCGCCGGCGCGCGTGGGGGCGGCGGGCGCTGCGCTGCGGGGCGCCGCGGGCCCACCCCGCCCCGGCCTCCCCGCTCCCCCGCCGCCTCCCGCGCGCTGCCTCTCACCGCATGAGCAGCGTCCCCTCGGTCAGCCCTTCATCTCCGTGCTGCAGTCCCCCGGCCTCCCTCGCTGGAGGGGGTTCTGTGCCGAGCGTCCCACAGATGTGGATTTCCTCTGTCCTGATGGGGTTCGGAGCTTAACTGGAACCATGTGCCTTGGTGTTGTAAGAAGCAGACATGTGCCCCATGGCGCGGGGAGGAGGGAGAAGAGAAGGGCGGGAGTAGATGGGGCGCGGTGGGGGGTGTTTGGGGGGGGGTGAGCCTTTCTCTTTTTAAGATGCTGACAGTTATTTTTAGAGTTTTGTTTTCCCTCACTTCCCGGCTGGAATGAATGGGAGAGGAAATACTGGCCCATTGGAGCAGGGGCAATTAGAATCTAAGAAGGAGGGGGCGTGGAGGGAGAGAGCCCCAGGGCTCCGGGAGGCAGCTTTCTTGCTCTTCCACGTTCCCTGTGTCCTGGAATTCTGCATTTTGGCTAAAGAAAAGAGCAGAGAGGATGATGCTGCATTTTTAACATGCCACAGAGCATGCAAGGGATTTCCTTGCAACACCTTCCACGCGGTCATTTCACACACTAGTCGTCTGCTGCAGCGGAGAGCTGCCTGAGACCCCATTTATCCGTGGTGCATTGGAGCTGTCTGGATCCCTGTCTTGCTCTGGAGGTTGGAGAGGAGGCATTTGCCAATAGAAGTCTCCTGTGCCTTGTGTGTGTGGGGGTGTGGGGTGGGTGGGTGTGGTGTGGTGTGTTGAAAGTGAAGCTCTACAGGCAATGTGTGATTTCTCATCAAATACGACAGCCACATCTGTACTGAGAAAGTTCTTGATGCTGGTTTCAGCCCCTTCCTTCATCCTCCCTCCTCTCCGCGGACTGTTTCAAGCCATTTAGTTTAGGCTACCTATATTTTCTCTTGCGAGCAGAATTTGAAAAACCAACATAGAGTGGATCTCCTTCGTTGTATTCCCCCTCAGTGCCAAAAGTATGAAGGTGAGGAACTCTCACAGATTAGATCAATTTCAAAACCTTTAATATGAATCACTGCATCTGTGTGTCTTTTCCTTTTAAACCTATTGGAGCATTCACAGGTTCAGAGTTGGGGGGATGGATAGGAAGATATCTTGAGGACAAATTCTAAAGTCTGATTGTGAACTGGAGACCTGATTTCTAAAGTTTCCTTTCTTTGGAGAATGATTTTATAGAGAAGATGCAGCTACAAGGGATGTTTTGTGCACACTTTCTTAATAAAAGTGAAAGGACAGAGTTTTCATTAGATGCTTAGAGAAATTTCCATCTATGCATGCAAACCAGCTAAAGCTGAGGAACTCTATCCTCTGAATAGATGTCTTTGCTGTGCTGTTTTTTTTAGTGGATTTACTTCTTCAGTTAAGAAACCAATGAAACAGCAGAGTGTTCAGAAATGAGAATGATGCTATGGACGAGACTCTAAAGGATGGTGACATAAAAAGGACTAAAAGAAAATTTCCAGCTTTTTAAAATTGAAAGTAACCTTGGCGACCATTGGGTTTAAATTGCACTGAATTCAGGAATGGCATCTGTAATGTCCTTGATAGTTCTCCACGGGTTCTTGCCACAACACTCTCCGCTTCTGAGAACTCACCGATTTTCTAGGAACTCCACCCTATTATCTTTTACTGCCTTCCTTGTGTTCAGCTGAACTCAGTGCATCTGCAGCATTCATAGACTCCCTTTCTCTCTCCTTCAGTGGGAAGTCTCCTTTGTATCCAACTGTCTGATTTTCATACCATTTATATAATGTATTCCACTAGTGTCACATGATCAGAAAATTTTGGCTATACAACAAAGAGGAAATGCACCTATCACTCATTTTCTGCAGCCTCTTTATGCATTAAGTTTACTCAGACACAATCTTTACATGAAATTTTGTGAGAAATAGTCTTTTTGTGAATATACAGTAAGATTTTAGGAAAACACACCGTTGAATAAATTGGTGGATGCAATGGTTCTTTTATAACTATCTTAAGCTAAAGCTAAATATGAGTCTATATTTGATGCTCCTAACTCTGTTGTATTGCCACATAGATCATAATAGCTTCCCCTCCTTCTCCTTGCTTCTTTTTCAACAATGGAAAACCTAGCTCTAAGAGTGATTTTTAAATTACTTTTCAATAACAAAAATGTATTATTGTTATTATTTTGGTGGGACTGGAGTCTGAACTCAGAGTTTCGTGCTTGCAAAGCAGGTGCTTTAGCACTTGAGCCACCCTCCAATCCATTTTGTTTTGGTTATTTTGAAGGGAAGGTCTTGTGAACTCTTTGCCCACTAGCCCTGAATCACAGTCCTCCTGATCTTGGCCTTCCTAGTGGCTAGGATTACAGATATGAGTTACCAGTGCCTGGCTTAAAACATATTAACTTTAATTAGAAAATTTGTTTAAATGGAGGAAGATCATGGTTGCTTAATTTTGATACTGTGAAAAGCTAATGTTAAATACTATTAAGAATTCATTAAAAAAGATACATTATGTGCTAAGAAGGGTTATTAATATTGTTAGCAGTATTTCAGATCAACCTACAGAAAGTTAATTTTCACTGAAACATTAGTAGATATGAATCACATAAAATTCTTGCAAATTCAATTTAAAATAAAGCAAAAAAGGAGAGCACATTTAGGGATCAATTAGTAGCAACACTATAATCCTTAGTGCTTAGTTCACACAGGATTCATCTTTCTGATGTATCTTGGTCAATATCAAGACTTGGAAACAAGTTGGGATTTACCTTTTTTAGCAGATGGGATTCCAGAGAAACCTCTGCTTGGACCCAGAACAGTTTAGTTCTAGGCCAGTTCCACAATTCACGTCCTGGGTGTTTTGGGTGAGATACTGTCTGACCCATTTTCCTTATTTATCAGCTTTGATTACATAACCCACTTGTTCACCGTAATCATATCAATTTATCAAAACTCTGTAATTCTGCTGTATTAATTATTCTTGTAATACTAGCAATTGCAACAAACCTTCAAAACTCAGAGGTTCTAAGACAAAAGTCTTCATCTTGTCCAGGGTTAATGTCTGTTGTGGATATTCCTCAACAGCTGGTGGGGAAAGGTAGAACATAGAAACCTGGGTTCCATATTCATTCACATTTCCAAGGTCATTCCTGAGGTCATTTCCTAGTCAACCAGCTAAAAGAGGAAAAGAGCCCTAAAAAGCATGCCTGAAAGATTTTTATGGCTTGCTCTGTTTGTGGCATGCATTCTTTCTTCCTGCATTCTCAGATTAGAACCTAATCTCTGGGAGGTTTTATAATGCAGTTTGGCTGGGGGCCTAGGAAGAAGAGGAGATGAATTTGATGACTGGATGGCAATTTCTCTTACCTTCCTCCACCCCCATCACCATGCTCTTACTTTGTTTACTTCAAGTCCTTAAGGTGTGTTTAAGGCTAATATCCTATTCCCTTCTGTCATTTCACACAGAACTTGCTCAGCAACTGCTATCTCAAGCAATGCTGCATTGTGAACTTTAAGAAAATGCTCTTCGACCTCCTTTTGTGATGACTTTAAGGAGTTTGCCTAAAATTAGCCACACCTCAGGCCAGTTGTGTCCAAGAAGAGTACAACCGAGAGGTACAATTTTAGAGGCAGTATTGGGCTTCAGCATTTTTGATGTCTGCAGCTGCAGTTGGGCTAATTGATAAGGACATTTCTTATCTGACATAACAAGATGTCCCAGAGAATGGCAGTTATAAAGCTGGTTAATTCAGAGAACTAAGTGTGTCATTAAGAAATCCAATCTTTTCCTCCTTTTGATTTGCCCAGGCCCAGAGCCTGAGGTCTGTGCTGATGATCACTCTGCAGGCAACATGTCCAAGCAAATCCAGATCCCGAGAAAGAAGAAGCTGTTTTGGCCTGGCCTGCATATCTCTTTCTTTCCCAGAAGACTCCCAGTAGATTTCTTCATAAGTCTTACTTCCCATGTCCATGTCTAAATCAATCACTGGTGAAAGGAACGATAACATTGCAATTGGCTTAGGCCAATCTGGACTTACACTGGGGCTAGGAATGGGGACAGCCTCCTCCCTGAGCATACTGTCATGTATGAAGATTTCAGACAGTCAAGATTATAGTCCTGTCTTAACCATCAGTTGGGGTCTTGTCCTGCTTAACATCTTTGTCACCTTGGCCAAATCATTCCGTCAATATACTTTAGATGTACTCCTGCAAAGCCATGGCATTGAGCTAGGTAATTAGCTTCCTTCCAGCTGATTTTATGATATTCTGGGCATTGAGTTCATGGATTATTTGCTAGGTTTGCTGCATCTTCAGTGTGGACACTAGTTTCCTGCTCAAATCCCAACCTCTTTTTCCTGGTGACTCATGTATTTAAACAATATCAAAGGATTGGGAGTGGCCCAGCACACAAGAACACAAAGTTTGGCATTGGTCTAGAAAAAGATAGATAGAGGCTGGAAAAATACTTGGGATATTATGACCACCGAAGTATAACTAGGCTGAAGATTAAATATTGCCTGCCAAATTACAGTACAGTGCAGAGTCTTACTGGATCAGTGCACAAAGACAATACACTGTTTTGTACACTTTAGATTTTCAATTATTTAAATAAGCCTTTTCTAATATGGGAAGGAGACCATATTTTTAAAAGTATTTTAAATTTAGTTTTGTTTCTTATATTCTCAAATCTAAATGGAATACAAGTCAATCAGGTTGAGCCTGCAAAGTAACTGAAGGATTTTCTACAATTTACCTTTCCTTTTTTAATAAGAATTGTTTTTCATTTTCTGAAATTTACCTAAAAAGCTTTATTCAAATTACTGCAAACTATTTATTTTTTCTGGATGAATTTAGGAGTATAGTTTGCTCTTATTGTTTGTTACAAATTACCTGTTTTTTTCCAGTGAGTATGTACCTCTGGTCGGATCAGGGTTTTGGTTAGTCCACCAAAGTGGACTTTTGGTGGTTTTGCTGTGCCCAGAGAGAAACCTGCTCCCTAAGGATGAGTTGTTCAATTACCATGCACAGTTTGGGCTGTGAACAAGAATGTTCTTCCCTAGCAAAGCAGTTCTCCCACCAAAACCTGGCAAAATAATTTTATGAAGCTATTTCTTGAGCAGAAGTGGGCATTGCCTCAGTAGAGTTGGGTATTTATAATAACATCTTCAGATATCAACAT